AGGAACAAAGATTCTCTCTCTTTTTGATCCATTTCTATAAAAACCTGTCTGAAAATGAGCTGATCAGATTTTGGCCACTTTATGATGTCATAACGATTTTTTGGCTTGTGTAACCATTAGCCAATCAGCAACCAAGGTAACCCCCAACCCCCCTTATCACCTGAATCTCCTCTAGAGCATCATTGAGTTCTTTGTAACCAAACATCTCTCAGAGGGGCGTGGGGAGGGGCTCCTTATTTTCATCTAAAGTAACAGACAGAGAATCAGCACTTTGGAAACAGGGCTGAAACAGAGGGGATTATGGGTAATGTATATGTAAATGTAGTGTTGCTCTTGGGCTTCTTTTTTTTATTTTTTAAAAAGGACATTAAAACTGTTGACTGCTTATTTCCCATCAACTTTTAGGTCCAGAGAAACAGGAAGAAGTACGAGATGGAGCTCCAAGAGGAGGAGAGGAAAAAGCCGTCTGCCTTCCAGCGTGGTCGCGGTTCCCGCCGCTCGGCCTACGCCTTCTCTCACTCCCGGGGCTACGCCGACCTCATCTCGTCCGGGCGGAGCATCCGACGCCCTGCGACCCGCCGCAACCCCCAGGAGAGCATCAGGGAGGTTCCTCAGAGAGAGGCGGAGAACATCTGAGCCGACACACGTCAAAGTTATAGCCAGGTGGATTGTAAATATTTAAGAAAGTTTGTGGAGCGCTTGGTTTGTCTTCCGTTTTTATCTGAGTCGCTGCTGATGGTCAACTTCTGCACAGGAATCTGTTGGAGTTTAAAGGGCCATTTTTTTTCTTCTGGGTTATTTAAGTCTCTTAGAGGGAGAAAAGAAAAGTTCTCAATCAAGTTAAATGAAGCTTTACTGAATGTGTCGTTGCTCCAGTGTGTGACTCCCCTGCCTCTCGTCCTTCCTCTGTGCACAGACTCTCTCGCCGTTTCACTTTACCTAGCGTGACTGACAATGTTTAACTCAGGATTTTAAAATGAATAGACTTATTTTTATTCGGTTTGTCTGCTCACCAATACTCTGACTGGATGTGGAGCCGTGGCTTTATCAAATGATACTTTTTTGACGTTTTTAGCCTGATCCCTGCGGAGCACTTGATATGAAAGGGTTTTATTCAAATTTGAAATGTATGTTCCAGTCAATTTGTCCATTAGCTTCATGAAACTACCATCCGTTGGGATGCACATCCAAAGATTGTCCTTCATAAAGAAAGGGCTACAGCTAAACATGTCAAGGTACCCCTTTTTAATGTTTTATTATAAATAATGATGGAATGTAAATGTGAGACTATGCAGGGTGGTTGGATGTGATGAAGTGTCTTAATTTAAAACGACTTGTAAATAGTGATCTGTTCTCCTGCTGCATCAAACATCCCTTATATACATATATTTTCGTCACTTAATTTAGGAAAATTCAACTTGCCTTGAAACCGTATAAACGCCTCTTCCAGTCCGGAATCCGTTTTAATCTTTTTCTATACCTCAACTTTACCTCAAGATACTCTGTGGGGAAACTGCATGGGGCTGCAACGTGCCTTCCTTTAAACGGCAGTCTTTGCAGAATAACTTCAAGATTTAGCTTTCTTCTTTTTAACATGTCTCAGTAGTTTGTTCATTTATTTGTTCTCTACGTTGAACTCAAGTCACACATTTATAAGGTGGTCAAAAGATGAGGATTTTGGTGTCTCACTGGTTGGTTACAACAAACCCGAAGAAGATTTTAGTTTTTTTTGCAGTCCCATAAACAGTTTTAGTATATTTGCTTAACCGTGCTAAGCCAAAACTGCTTCATTCCTTCTCTGACTGTTACCGTTTCCCTTCATGCGAGAGTTACTGTGTGCAGATATATGTCGGAGGTATTTTTATTTCTGAATGAATGGAAGCTGGTGACTGAACCAGCAACAGTTTGGTCTTTCATATGATGGTATTTTATCATGTGGTTGTAAATAAAAGCCAAGTGCACATTTAACTGAGTTCTTTCTTAATCTGTGTTTGTTATTGTGTTGCCTCTTTTATTGATCAATGTGGTGATTTATTAAAGTCAATCTCCATATTCCACGTACTCAACTCAACAGCAGTACCAAACGTCTTTACAGACTGGTGCAAAGGAGAGATTTTTATTATAATAAAGTTAGTTTAGTTAAATTAAATTGTGAGTTACTTAAAAAAAAACAATCAAAACTAGAGAAAGGTAGAAAGAAATGGTTCGTGCATTTATTTTCTATAGTTTTTCCTAGTCTAGTAAAAGCTGCATCGGTTAACATGAAGCTTGATTAAAAAAGAAAAAAGGTACATAAATGCCTGTGAATAATACAAATGCGAACGTATGAATAATCATAAACGATTATAAAAAAAAACGTACATGGATATATCAGAATGAATGTGAGCTATACAAAATTACTTGTAACAATGAATAGTAGCTCTATAGTAAGGGGAGTACAGTAGGCCATAGATCACTGCACACTATTTCAATTAAAAATAGTGAAAACCAGAGGTAGGGAAAGTACTTAATGAATCCCATTAGTATGATTTTATGAAAATATTTCGTATAAATAAAACTTTATACAATAAATGCATAACTGATCACATCTATCACTGTGCATATCAACATTAAAACATGTACAACAAGTTTAAGAAACCCCACACAACTCAGTTAACACTTTGAAATGGTGATTTGATTTGATCTTTTTACAGCACTTCGTTCATATTACACACTGTATACACCGGAATAAGTTGTAAACTGCATAAAAACCACCATGTGATCTTTGTTTGTCCGTCATGATCGGTTGTTTCTGTGAACAAGCATTGTGGCACAGCATTATCTCCTGTCCTTTCGTAAAGGATGATCCAGTGTTTCCTATAAACTAAAGGAGATTATAAAGGGAAGCTGAACCTCATTTCCTGGGTCATTCCAGAATTGAAGGACAATTTAGACACCAACATTTTTGAAAAATGAACCTTTTATTTTATGTATTTAGGAAAAACAGATAACCCATCAAAAAAAGTGATTTGCCCAGCCAAGGCATCAAATGTATATTTTCCAATGAAGAATTACCCCTGTTACTCTAATTATAGTAACAGGGTTGAAAAGCAATGCTAATTAGAGCTTTAACTTCAGGAATTATTGCTAGATGTCAAGGACAAACTTGGATATCTAATGAAAGAAAGATAACTTTGAAATGAATATGCTTTATTCTGATAATATGAGTAACAGGGTTGAGTGGGTCAGAGTGCCACACTCTTTTAAGACTGAAAAGATTGTAAACATAAAAGAAAGGACTTAGTTTTGGTCTACCCATGGCACTAGCACATGGCTTACTGATGTCCTTTCCACTGTGTCATCTGACTTATAGTTTTTTCACTTCCTCTGCCAATCTAAAAAGGTTTGGGTAACAGGGTTGAACGCATGTTGAGGGACACAACTTCTGTGCAAAATTACTGTTATTTAAAATATGTTTTAACAAATTGATTTTACCATTACAAGAGACATATATCAATAGAATAATACCACAAAAAGTAAATAAAATCCCTATTTTAAATGTTATATTTGACATGCAAGCTGGTCACCAAGAAGCAGGGACAAGAGAAAAATGCCATTTTAGGGGGTGTTTGAGAGCTATTTGATCATCATATTTTTAAACCACTTTTCTACAACTTTATATACATTTTGTCTCAAGACAAGTATGTTTAACACAAGTGCATGTTTTAGCTTTTTGGGCATGGATTATTAGATTTTTTATATGGGGGACATGAAATGTCCTCCAATTCTGGAATGACCAAACAGCTGTTATCATGGCTGCCACTTAGTCTGAAAATACAGAAAAAAGGTGGGCCATGAGAAGATATTTTGCTGAATTTGACAAATGGCGTATTTGGTTAGAATTGCTGAGTAACACACTTAAGAATAATTGTTCCTGGAGGATTATGAACATTTCAAACTAACAGCAAAGGCAGTATATTTTCTACATTGTTCACAGTTGATAGAAAAGGAGTGAGTGGAACAGATGTGTTTGGATTGTCATTATGAAGAACATAAACACTTCACAACAGACTGAAAACTACATTTCTGTCTGGGCTGACAACACGACCTTGTTTGTTTTACATTATTAACTGCATTTAGAAACAGAGCCTGAACACACCTTGAAATCCCGCCTCTTCTTCTTCCTGCTCTCGAACAAGGCCAGCCCTCTCAGTGTCGTGTCTCTGAGAGGGGGAATGGCGCAGCAAGGAAGTCAGCGGGACAAGGACAAACTCTGCTGTTCCATCTGTCTGGATCTACTGAAGGATCCGGTGACTATTCCCTGTGGACACAGCTACTGTTTGAGCTGTATTAAAAACTACTGGGATGAAGAGAATCAGAAACATGTGTACAGCTGTCCTCAGTGCAGACAGACCTTTGAACCGAGGCCTGTCCTGATGAAAAACACCGTGTTGGCAGAGTTAGTGGAGGAAGTGAAGAATAAGAAGACAGACGTCAAAGCGTCTCCAGCTGATCACTGCTATGCTGGACCTGGAGATGTGGGATGTGATTTCTGCACTGGGAGAAAACAGAAAGCTCTGAAGTCCTGTCTGCAGTGTCTGGTCTCTTACTGTGAGCAGCACCTCCAGCCTCACTATGAATCCCCTGCCTTTGGAAAACACAAGCTGGTCGACCCCTCCAACAAGATGCAGGAGATCATCTGTACTCGTCACAATGAGGTGATGAAGATTTTCTGCCGCACCGATCAGCAGTGTATCTGCTTTCTCTGCTCCATGGATGAACATAAAGGCCACGACACAGTTTCAGCTGCAGCAGAAATCAGCGAGAAGCAGAAAGAGCTCGGGGTGAGTCGTCAAAACATCCAGCAGAGAATCCAGAAGAGAGAGAAAGATGTGAAGCTGCTTCAGAAGGAGGTGGAGGCCATCAATCTCTCCGCTGATAAAGCAGTGATTGACAGCGAGAAGATCTTCACAGATGTGAAGCAGCAGATCAGATCTCGTCAGGAATCTGAAGTGGCTCACGTCAACAATCTTCAGGAGAAGCTGCAGGAGGAGATCGCTGAGCTCAGCAGGAAGGACACCGAGCTGGACCGACTTTCACACACAGAGGACCACACCCAGTTCCTACAGAGTTACAGCAGGTTTTCAAGTCTGAGTGAAGCTACAGACTCCTCCAGCATCACGGCTCGTTCCCTGAAGTACACTGAGGACGTGTCTGCAGCTGTGTCAGAGGTCAGAGATAAACTACAGGATATTGTTAGTGAGGAACGGGCCACGATGTCATTAACAGAGACTCCACAGACAAAGCCCAAGAACAGGACTGAATTCCTCAAATATGTATTTGATATCACACTGGATCAGAACACAAGGAACAAACATATCAGCTCTCAGTCTTGCATTGCAGGATTCAGCTTGAATACCGATGAATGGTATGCTCACCCAGACAGTTTCACTGACTGGGCTCAGATTATGTGCAGAGAGAGTCTGACTGGATGTTGTTACTGGGAGGTGGAGGTAAAAGTGAGTGTTTTGGTTGCTGTTGCATACAAGAGTATTAGCAAAAAAGGAGATGAAAGTTTTTTTGGAGACAATGACAAGTCTTGGGCTTTGGAGTGTTCCAATGACGGTTATAAATTCAGACATAACAAAATCAGAACATCACTCTCAGGTCCTAAGCCCTCCAGAGTAGGAGTGTACCTGGATCACAGTGCAGGTGTTCTGTCCTTCTACAGCGTCGCTGAAACCATGACTCTCCTCCACAGAGTCCACACCACA